GCCATCTCTGAGGTCCCAGGTTCGATCCCTGCCGGGTCAGTGTAGAAACTAACTTTTCCATATTATCTCAGGTCTGGGTGTTTTGGTACCGTCGTTGTTTGCGATTTCCATATAGCTACTTACTTTGGGATCAAAGCAACGTATGTGGTGTTCTCTATTTATTCCGCTTTAGTAAAAACACATATGTACAAGCCCAAACTAACACGGTTTACCGAAATAATTAAGTCACGTCATTGGATTACTTATTTTGTAATAAACGTATATTTTTGAAAACAGAGATCGCTTTAATTTAATTTATTTTTATTAATATATAAATAAATAAAAAGAATGCTTTTATATTTTATTAATTACTAGCTTTGTTATACGTAACGTACGCCCTAACGCCACTACCACCTATGTATTTATTGTCCTTGCTTGAAAATATACATAGAATAGATGCCTTCCTATACAGTTTTTTTGTAAAACAGCTCGAGATAAGTATGACATACAAAATTATTCGCAAGCTATTTCAATTTTAAATACATACCAAAAACCTGTTACTATACCCGCGAAAAACCATTGAAGAAAAATTACAATCTAAAATCCGGCAGTATGACCATTAATTAGACGCCCTAACTAGTGTTGGTCACGGTAAAATTCGTATTTTTCAGATAAATAAATTTTTCTTTAATTTATACATATTTACTGTTGACAGGTCAAAGTCGAAGATTCTGAACGAAAACGGTGGAGTCAATCTATAGCTTTTTTACCTGTATGATTCTTTTTTCGTCCAATTTTTCCAGACAAAATCCACTATTTGAAGTTTTTCGGAAAATTACCCAACAGTGACCTGTCCCGAAGGACGAATGATCCTACTCTCTTTCCCCTCCCTTCTATTCCTGAACGAGAAAATAAAATGGCAGCATAAAGTCTTCGAAAGCAAAACGTCATTTTTGAAAAATATCTTCGTTGTTGTTGTGTATTACGTCCAGTAGGCACTTAAAAAATAAGCTACTCTTATACACGGAGAAGTTTTGCAAATACGTATTTATTAAATAACCAAATTGTTTTGGATCTTTCTAACTGGATAAAATGGTAAAAAACTGCTTATATTGGGTAAGTATCCTAATTCTTTTAATTGTGACAATCTATTTTGTTTTACACGTAGGTAGCATAACCTTCGGAGATTAAGATCCAGCCCCATATATTTGTAACTGATGGTCAGAACTTTTATTATAAAGAAAAGATGAATGATGAGAAGATTTAAGTGTTTAAACAATTTTGCAAGAATGGGCTACGTATTTTCGTTATTGCAATGCAAGATCAAAATTTTCAGTATAACGTGCATTGCACAACTCTAGTGTTCTTAAATTTTTAGTAAACCGGTGTGAATACTAGATATGAACGTTATTTATTCCAAAAAAGGAAAGACCTAACCTGTAAAATAATTTTTTCTGAAATATGTTGTACTTGAATTCCAACCATTTATTTCTCTTTACATTCTATAATTATTAATATATTTAGATAAATTCTAAGAATCAGTTTTTAATATTTTGGATTAATTTTACTACTGTGCAATGGGGCTGTTCAGATTTCGCGCTCAAAATAAGGCAAACAGCGCCATCTATTAAGCATCGTAGGCAATATCTGGCAGAAGCTCCATCTACAGGAAACTTTCAATAACTCTAAATAAGTTATCACGATGTTTAAATGAAATTGTATAGATGTCGTTACTTTAAGCATATTACAAAAATAAAGCTGCGTGTTCTATTATGTATTATTATCGTTTAGGTACCTACTTGTAGATACCTACGTCTAAGTTATCAAGTATATTTTCCCACACACACGCATACATGCACGAGGAATTCGTGTCGTTCTTTCTAGAAGACTACGATAGGTAATTATTAACGTTGAAACAAAATAAAGCTGTCTCGTTCCGGTATTCAGGTTCGTTGCTCCCCTGCTTGTACTACTAAACCCCGTTCTCAATGTTGTTGGAAAGGAGTGAGGGACCTAAACTTTCAACCCTAATATTTTTAATATAGGATGACTGATGTGATCGTTGCTTTATCAACTACGCTTTAAACTCGGCGCCATACTTATTTTTGTAACATGCTATCACTAAAATTAATGTAAGCTTATGTATGTCGAGGTTTCCTACCCGTACGGAAATGCCAAGTCCCAACGAGAAATAAATAAGCTTGAAAACAAAATAACTTTTTACTTAAAATCGGTTGTATTTACATTCGTCCATTGTAGAAAATCAATAGTGTTCAACATCACAAATAAATAAAATCGTACTAAGGTATTCACATTAGTCGTACAACATCGTACACAATATGCGACAGCTCATTCTTACCACAAACGAAAAGGCGGGTTGATAGGGATTAAATCATAAGATAATTAAAATTTTATTTATTCAATGTCAATCTGTTCTATTGTAAACAAGTTGCTCCCTTTGGTATGCAATCGCCAACGGAACAATTTTAAATGCTTCTTAAACCACATAGCCATCTCTCTCGGGGACTGTGTTCATTTTCATACATCGATTCGAGTTTTTCGCACCACACCAGGGCCCCGCGAAAGACAAGCTAGAATACGGATTCAATGAACGTATCAAAAACACTCGTGGCGTAATCGGTGGCGTCTAGGTTAGCAGACAGTTGATTGCGCAGGCCGACAGCATGATACATCGCCGGCCGTACTTCCTCGAAGTCGAACAGCGGTGTATAGCGCGCTACGGGTGATTTTCCACACGAGGGAACGCGTTGCTATGAAGTAGTGAAAGGCGGGCGAGGCAGACGGTAGCGCGGGGTGCGGGGACCCACGCCGTGACGCCGACCGCGGCCGCGGGCAAATCGAACGAGGCCACGCGCCGCCGCGCCGCGGGGGAGGGGGCCCATGACGCGTTCCCTGCCTCTTGTACCCCGTCTGCTGCCCTGTCACACCCGGCCCTCCAATAGCGTCTTCTCATAAAAAATGACGTACATCCTACATACTATTCACTTTAACCTAGGAATCTCTTACTTCCATTCGAAACACTGGAATACCAAACTGAGGGTTCTATCCTAATTAACAATTATGGACAAAAAATTTCAGGCCGGTTTTATAAGGTTTCTTTCGCTATCGCGGCGCGTCGACCGTCGCGCTCTCTTTATCAGTCGTACGGGGAGCGCGCGGCCGGCGCGCGAAGTGCACGAGATAATGGCAAAATTGTGATGTTTTTCTAATAAAACTGTATGTAATGTAAGAAGTGAATCTGACCACTTTGTTTATTAGGTTCACACTCCCCCGTGCAGTCCCATAATCACCTGGATGATGACCTTTTTCCGAGTAAAATTTTATTCGAAACAAACTAATGGGAAATTTTTCTTTTAATCGTCCGATCCAGGCAGCATTTGAGCTGAACGAAGAACGAAAACGTAACGAAATTAAAGGGGTTTGAAACTGAATGTAACATTCACACCTTTGTCACATTACCGATTATAAAATCACAGGCTTCACTTACACTAAATATGTACACACAAACTCTCATCGACAACAAAAAAAATGAAGAATTGAGCTTTGTGACTTAATTGCTTACTCTACTATATTAGTACTGCCATGTCAACTTATTTCTATTTATCATTAAAACGGATTGGGTCTTAAGTTGATAGAAAAATATCACAACTTCACCATTTAACGGGCTCACAGGTAAACCTAGAATACAGAGTGGATTTCACTTAGAATAAAATTTACTTTCGAAAAACACATTTGTACATTTCATGACAATATTCAACAGCATTCTACTAAGTCTTAATTATGACGCTCGTTACGACGAGCTTAAGAAATTAAAGATACAGCTTCGGTACCAAACTTAAACATTGTAAAAATTGATTCTGCATTGGATTTGACTTAATTACTTTTTGTCATTTAAATAGAATTGCACCCGTTTTAGGTGGGAGCGATGTCGGCCTCACGTGTTCCCAACTGTTATTATCTATTGCTGTTTAGGTGCTCGCGGGGACAGTTGAGGCGAAGCAAGGCCGCGCCAGTCCGGGCGTCACAAGCACTAACACTTCACTGTGACATTGTCCACATAAAGGCTCGAGGCGTATTACGCATCCTCCTCCTCTTCTTCTCCTAATAACTCCTCCTCGACTTCTTCATCTGCAAAATAAATATATAGAGTATTATTTATTTTGTCGTCTGCATCAGTTAACGGCACTCTTTGAAACCCTCCGAGCTAAACTACGACGAAATATTGTATAACCTTTTTTAAAGATTGTTTTGTTTAAAGGAGATAATAATAATAATAATCTTTATTTAGATATGAAGCAATAACAAAGAGGATCGCTCGACTGCCCTTTATCATATAAACCTTTTATAATAACGATATTGCTAGGAGCATTGCATACAGACCAATATATATATCCCCTCAATACTAAATTTGTATTTATTTCCCTTTACTGTAGTTTGACAATTGTAACCATGAATGACTGTGCATGGTTGTATTCATTAACGAACACCGGGTCATTTGCAATTCTTCGCAATTGTACTGGATCTATATGAGTAATGCCTATAAAATGGTTTGTATTAATTATTGTCTCACCTTCGAGATCGTCATCTTCTCCTTCCCCTAATTCTTCCTCGTCCTCCTCGCCTTCTTCTCCCTCTATTTCCTCATCTTCGTCCTCTTCCCCCTCCCCCTCTCCGTCTACTTCCTCTTCTTCGCTGTGTGCCTCATCGTCTCCGCCACCGCCGTTTTCCTCCTTTCGCGCCTTTTTCGCAGCCTCAGTTTGTTTCTCCTATGAAAAAAAGTTTTACAAATAAGCGTATGTGTGTCGCTAGTCATCCAATGATTAAAGATACCGACAAGCTACGATCATGACAATAATTATTATATAATTATTTAACTTTTTCACGCCAGTCCTTACATAAACGCGCGTGTACTTTTTGAACATTTACTTTCCAGCCTCTTTAAAGAACATCCCACTATAGACAATTTCACTGCTAATCAGTATCGGGCATATTTTCATCGTCCGTGTGTTTATAGCAAATCATTATTATAAACACTTCTGTTGTTCAATGATCGTGCAAGTAAATTACTGGCTATTAGCCAACTTATTTTAAAGTGCTAACTGAGTTCGCCATAATTGACGAATATAGAAATAAAATCTCAATTATTAAAGAAATAGCGGCGACAGTAGTACCTACACGCAGGTGACAAAGATTCGTAACGATAAAGAAGCGTGGGTTATTAGTTAGTTGTATAGGGAAAGAGCGACGTAGAGGGGCCGGCGCCATACGGCCGATATTGGCTTGGCAAACTCAAAAGGAACGCGGTCACCGCGCATACAGAGTCCATGTAACGAGGTAGAATACTTCGCGTTATAACAACTATACAAAATGATTTGTAACAAAGCTAGCGACCATTGAAGAGCTATTCACTGGGAATATTATGAAAAATTTGTGTTTTTACACGTTAATGACTAAACCCCATGCGTTCGTTTACAATTAGGTTACCTTGAGGGAAAGAGACAGACGATACAGAATATTCCCACATTCCGCCTATAACGTTCGATTACAACTTATTCCCGCTCAATTTATATCGTCTTCAGCCCATTTTACACCAAGCATGGCCATTAGCGACCACTTGCAGAACAAAGGAAGTGTACATACAAAACACACCTACCTACGTGCAAATAATACCGGGTCATTGACTAGTTTTCTGTGCTACTACTAAAATAAAATTACAATGGGGCGAATGGAAATGGCGGCACGAACTCGTGGGCCATGACAGACTTTAATTTCCTGAAGTGTTGCGATGAGAAGCGATACAGTAGAAGTAGGTTATATTTGCGCTAAATAGTACCCACGTATAAAACCTAAACCAAACATTTGCGCGGCGTTTCGTGACAGCTCGTTCACTGACATTCGCCGGCCATATTACCGATCCAGCGTCACTAAAATGAACGAACGCCCTGAAAAAGTTTAAAATAGCCGATGATACATAATAAAATCAATAACAAACAACCAAGTACAACCCCTGTACTGAGAAAGTAGCGGCATTTTTTATTATAAGCTCGAAAATAGGGATAGCGTACGTTCTCGCGCCATGTTTTTTTTTCTGCCAAGGTCATGCCTCCGTATCGAAAACGGGTAAACAAAGCTACGGAGTTACAGCCCTGCAACTGGGAAACTGGAAACTTACAAATCACGGAGTCAAAACACCATAAAATATCGTAGTAGTGACTCATCGATTACCTCACACGCGCTAAAATGCATAAGTCGTCAGAAATGACATCCAAAAATACGCCGGTTAGGACGAGATTTCACACTTCAGTGCAAAGCAGTAAAATGCTACAAACCACGTGGAACATTATACCAAGAAGACGGGGATAAAGATATTATTATAATGTAGAGTGTAATAAAACGTTCAATAAAATGGCGAGCGATTAATGAACACATTTTGTTTGACATGTGCACTCACCTCTGCTGCCCTTTTGGCTCCTTTTAGGTCACTTTTCGTTTCCGACTTCTCTTCGCCGACCTTGTCAACGGCCACTTCACTGTTATTTTCATTGGTGCTCATGATTGTTCTGATTTTGGCGTTAATTACTAGAAAATAGTCAAGTTGTACGGCTGCCCGGATCCGACGCGCGACTGACTGACTGAGCGAGTGAGCGGCGAGATGATTTTGAAAATGAAGATGGCGCGGGCTTCTGCACGCGCGGCCTGTGATTGGTTGAGGGCGTCCGCCATTGACAGCCTATGACTAGCATGTGGGAAATAAACTGAAAAATCACTTACCTTGTTTCGGGCTTTCAAAACACTCTGTGATGATAAAACGGCTTTGAAACTTGCTTAAAATGGTTTCGTATTGGTAGTTTGTAAAATAAACGTTCTATTTAACAGTAATTATTAAAAATATAGACGCGTTTATTTCATTAGTTCCCAATACCGACGAGTCGCGGCGCTACAGTCGTATTATTAGAAATGGCGGGAAAGTGAAAAAGTTATCAATCAATCGTTAGTAAAATAAATAAGGTCACTGTTCCAATAAATAATTCAATTTTTACTCAATGTTATATGTTCCGGTCTTTAAACAACCAATTATTTTTTTCGTATTTAATGGCTATAGCCTACATAGCGCCAACATCAAAGTAAAAGGTCAACGGACGGAAGAAAAACTAAAAGGAAATTTGTTACCCGGTTTTCGTGTTGGTGTACAAAAAAAATTACACAAACGTACGTGCTAACGCCATGTGAGTACATACGTGCATGAGAAACTCTTAAAGTACTAACGAAAGGCTTTCGTATCACATGAATAAAAATAAAAATATTTGCATTTATTTTTAAAAGTCATTGACTTACAATGTTAAAAGTAATCAAAATTACTACAGTGAACTCAATGAAAAACCTACTAAATTAAAATCATCGTTTATTTACACATTGGATCTAAACTTACATGTTTTACTCTTCTCAACGTCAGAGCTAAATCTCACAAATGAAATAATAAAAAAAAACTATAGTTATGTAATTTTATTGAAACGAGTTTACATAATTTACAAGGTTAAAGCCTACTTACAGCTTCAAAACAACTAAGTTAGAATCACATTCTAATTCAAAACATAGTATGAAAAAAAATCAACATTTATAGTAGAAAATCAACACATTTTCTGGACTAATTAAGCATATTTTAGGTTTTATTCTAAAATTGATTCCTAACAAATATAATTACAGCTGGAATCAATATTTATAAATAAAACCAAAACTCGTTGATGACATAATAAGCTCTAAGGGTTATTATGGAAGATCCCATGCATTTTTTATGGGATATACCATAGATTCAAAAATTCACAAGCAATCTTAATATTCAAGGAAAAAATGCTTAGTAACGAATATTATAGAATGGAAGAATAACCAGTTTGGAAAAATACCACGAATATTGGTAGTTTTGTAGGAGATGACATTGTTTTATGGAAGCCAATAAATAGTTCTCCTTTGAGCAGATCTACCTGCTTTTCTTACCTGTTATTGTTTGGAATAGTAACTTTCACTGAATATGTATTATTTTAGATTACATTTTCGCTAGTAAATGGCATTTTTATTTGACACTAGTCATATATTCCAAGTGAAAGCGTTTTACATAGATACTGTATACAAAATGCCACTTAGAAAATCTATATATTATCATTTTTTAAATATAAATATGTACATAAATTATAAGTTATTTCCAAGTTTCAAAATCAGTTATCACAGGCATACATAAAACTCTTCACTAACAATAAGTAACTAATAAATATTTATACTATGTAGTTCCGAATTCACACTAAACTGAAACTAAAATAGTGTGATCCAAAGAAGCTAATTTTGAATTGTTTTGGCATTGACAAAGCAAAATTGAATTATCAACAATTCGTAACCATACTACATTAAAAGTTTTGGGAAAATGACAAAAAATAATTAAAGAAAACATTTATAAATCGCACCCTTCATGGAAGAATGGCATAAGAGAAGTTATGTCG